ACAAATTAAATTTTTTTATAAACTTAGTTTGAATAGTGCAATGATATATAGTTTTGAATTGTATATTCATCAAGATGGAGGATTAAACAGTGAAATCTTAGGGGACCATGTTGAAAAGTTGTAATTGTGTGATGTTTTCATAAACAATATCAAATGAGAATGATTGCATCTTAATGTTCATTCACTGTAGAATATGATACAACCATCAAATTTTCGACTGGATACAAGAAACTTACCATCGGTTTCGTCGAAATATGTTAGTTTTAGGTTTGTGCATAAAAGTTTTTGACAACGCATCTATGTAATATGATTTATATTTGTGCAGAAAGGATGAAGAAGATGAAGGAAGAAGCAACAGACGTAGAAGAAACATTTGTATACTCTTCACAGCTATTCTGGTCTTGGCTATTGTAGCAGCAGTTGGCGCTGTATACATAATGTTCATTCGTAATAGTAATGCAGCAGCATCGATAACAACAACAACAACAACAACAACAACAGGCAAGCAGTACATAAAAACAACATGACTCTATCATGAATAGTGATTGTGTGCATTCTATTTTCAAATGAAGTTCCTCTAGAAGTAGATTTAACCTAATTATAGACTTGATGTATGATTAAAATGCATCGAGATCGTCAGAGTTAAAAAGTTGTGGTTCCTTGAATAATGACCATAGAAAGTCAAAATAGGCAATATATTTGAATAAAAACATTACAGACTCTATACGTCACATCTAATGATTATTATCATTTGACTTAAAAATCACTGAATAAGATATTTAGTGCATAACCCATGTAATATATTAGTTTGAGCGTCGAAAATCAACTATGGAAAAACAAATTTTGAGCAGAGACGTAGGTGTAAGTATTCGACGAGAAAGCCACATGTTCTAAAGAATGCCTATGCGCCATTAAACAAGCTTGTTCGGAAAATTCATCAGATCATTGTGGCGTTATATGCGGAGAGCGTCGAAATTCCATCCGGGAGTGTACCGCTCCCGTTCGAGCATAATCTATAAATGATGTTTGGTCTTATGCCACCATTTCTTCTCATCTTATCTACTACCTTTATCTTTCAGTCATTGATATTTCTCTTTATCCCTTATTCTCCGTCGTTCTCTCAAATTATTGAGTATTTAAGCGTGTGCTTTATATGTAATCGGCGCGATTGAAGATTTCAAGAATCGAATAAAGTGTAATGCCATCAACACTAACTTTCCTTATATCAGAAATTGTCACAGTCATTTCACAGTTTGAAATATTATGAGGAAACACTAAAGTAGCTGATTAGACGTGTCAAAATTAAGACTGTTAGTTTCTATTACAATTTTTTGGAAGCTAAAGCAAAGTTTTGCGGCAAGGCAGTGGCAGACTTTTATAAGCGTGCCATTGTTTCCACTCAGATAAAAAGGAATTTCAAAATGTATAACGTTCCTTGAGTGTGGGTGCCAAAAGACCGGGAAATCTTCGCACCCCTAACCGAAATATGCTCCGAGAGAAGAAGTCAAAATAAGCGCTAAATGCTGGTAACTATGAACCATGACACGAGTCTTACATGTAGATCTGACAGTATACAATTAGTCTTCGGTATCAATAGCATTTCAAAAATTTCACTAATCATATTTTTGCTTTCGGGCTTATTCAGATTTTTCAAACGTTTATTATATTCGCATTCCTGTTGCCATAGAATACAGAAATCGCGCGTAGCTTATTTTAACAATAATGCCTTCAGTATGAACCTCAGAATCTTTATTCACTTACCAGCATGGGCTGTCATCCAATCATTTCGTTATACCTACGCAGATAAGTAAGACTTGACATTTTTATCATAGTAATCCCATTAATTCAAATATTATCTATGAAAAGTAACCATAACTATTTTAGAAACCACAACCACTACACAGACAACTACTACTGCAAGCACAAGCACTAGCACACGTACAACAAGTACCACCGGTACAACTAGTACTACTAGTACTACTAGTACCACGAGTACAACCAGCACTACAAGCACAAGTAGTACTACGAGTACTACCAGTACAACAACTACAACCAGTACTACAAGCACAAGTAGTACTACGAGTACTACCAGTACAACAACTACAACCCGTACTACCAGTACAACAACTACAACCCGTACTACCAGTACAACAACTACAACCCGTACTACCAGTACAACAACTACAACAAGTAAGTAAAGCCCAGTAGATTGCCGAGTACATCATAGAACGAAACTTACACTCTCAAGACTTACCAGGTACACATAAAATGACTGCTTGAGTTTAGTATCCTAATTCGACCTGTCTCACAACAGATTCTCGGTACCTTACTTTCATAGAAAAAATTTCTTCTGCTTGCAACAAAAGAAAACTTACAGTGTTAGATCTCCTTCTTTATTTCGTCTTCTTCTTATGATTATTACATTCTCACAAGAAGTAATCCCCCCTTCTTTAAACACTAACACTCATTTAAATAGAATAGATACGATGTGAAGAAGAATAGAATGATTGTAAACGTGATAGAATGAAACCGAGAGAAGAAGAGATAGCATACTTATACTAGGACAGATATCTCCTGGCATAACATACAGCGATATTACTTATATGTGTAGTACTTGAGGGTGGTGTGGATTGTTCTCGAAATAAATCTTCTCTCCGATTAAAGTAATCGTGCACGATTCACAATCACAACTCTATATGATACTCTCGAACAGAAATTTAGACAAAGCAAAATTGCAAAACATTTGTCTCACTCGATATTACCCATCTCATACTTTCTAGATCACCGCTTGAATCTACAGATCACCACTTCTTCATATGAAAGAAAACTTGAAAGAAACAAATTCACTCAAAATTGTCTAGCAAGCGATAGTATAAAAATAATTTTCAACAACTTTCCCAAATATTATTTCTGGCGATACTACTTCAGATTAAATGTGCTATGATCTTCATGTAACTACGCATATTCTCTTTTACATCTGAGAAGATGATGAGAATGAACTGAGACTGGAGACAAAGTTTTTTGATTCTTCAAATTAAATTATATGAGTGAAATCTATTTAACATAATTTTAGATGCTTTCGGAGATCCTTGCATATCCTTAACACTCAAAGTTTCCCAGTAGCTGATACTTCTTTCTAGGTGCAACAACTACAGCGTTGAGCCCTCAATCATGTACTGCTGGAAGTCCAACGATGTTACTCAATTTATACAATCCTGGCTCGTTTTCATATACATACTACAGTTACTCGTATACACCAACAACGCAGCAAGCAACAATCATGTTTGAACTACAACAAGATCCAAGTAGTATTTATATTGATGCTGTGTCAGTTGTCAATGCGTCTAGTCAACAACTGCTTACAAATGGCGGTTTCGAAACTGGCAGCCTTTCACCCTGGCAACATGGCACTATAAGTGGTGGCAGTGTTGGAAGTTGGTGCAGCTACTCTGGCTCATACTGTTATTCGGATGCAATCGTTGGCCAAACAGATAACATTCATCAGACATTTTTAACAGTGCCAGGAAGCACAGTAACCGTTTCATTCTATTTACAGAACAATTCCGCAGGGTCCATTATCATTGCGCGTGTCTGCATTTATCCTTATTAAAACAATTTCTTTCTTATTGAACATGAACAATCGTTTGCATCATAAGACAACACAGCTCTCTTATTTTAATCATTGTACAATTCGTTTCCTAATTCTGCGTGACTATTTTATATTTTATTTGTCTAAAAGAAACATTCAAGAGAATATTTTTCTTTCATTGATCTTTGTCTACTCGTAAATATGGAATACTGACGGAAAACTGTCGAGACGATTTTGAACAAGAAATACATTGTAAAATCTTTTTTTCTGTAGGAACTTCACATTTTCTTTGATAGCCTTCTATGAAAATAGCGCGATTCCCAAGTGGGGGAAAGCGACTCCTGGATCCTTGGATTCTGACAGTTCCTCGTGGATCCTGGTGGATGTTTGAAGATATGTGAAGATCAGTATCAGCTCCTTATCGCTGTCACTTTCTCTCTTTTTAGTCTAATATAATGACTTGTCCCGTTAGACAAAGTTGCTTTTTAAGGTTTCTATTGGAGCTTCTTGGATTGATATTCGTCTTCGTAGCATAAAGTCTCGTAATCATTAACATGCTGTACAAGGTTATCCAACAACTCTATTTGCTGTCAAGGGGAAAGTTAAAAAAAGTAACTTGTAAATTCCATGAAACACATGAAATTTGAATTTTTTTTTAAACTACGGGATAGAGTGATGAATTTATTAATTACGTAGTAAGTACCAACGATTCATGTATTTTTCACTTTTTGCTACAGCATTCACTACTATATTTTTTTTAAAACTTGTACATAGCTATGAGTTCATATATTTGAACCGATCGTTGCAAACCAAGTCATACTGATGTACTTGTTGGAACTTTGCAATTAAACATGAAGAATTAATAAATACACAGACAAAGCCATGGGTAGAAACAAAATAGTATTCTTCGTTTCAACAGTATCGTCTATATTGAAAAAGGCTAAATAGTTTTTTCAGAACTGTTGTAACACATGCCCAGTTATAGAATAATATGACAAATAAATCCTTCCTTTCTTCTCTTTTTGTATACAATAAAATCTGTAAGTTTTTTTCTAAGTATTTAGATACCAGAAACGATATATAGATCATTTAGATCTTTGAAAAAATGTATGGTCACTTTCGTAAGTTATTCAAAACACGATGAAAATCATAGATCCTACGTATATGAGTCTCGCTGTTCTACTTAGTAGTTGCAAACTGTTAAAATATTGAGATAAACTCATTAATCAAAATGGATCTTAGCGAATTCTCTGGACCCTGATGGATTCTATGTATCCTGGTAGATTCTATGAATCCTGGTGGATTCTATAATTCATCAGGAGCCGCTTTCCCCCCCTTGAGATCACCTATTTAACAGATTATGATCCATACTTCGTTACCGTTAGTAGTTTCGATAATGACAGACAATTGGACATTGCCGTGGTCCAGTATAATAGTGACACCATTGGAGTATTCATTTGGCATAGGGTAATGGAACGTTTGCCAGGTGAATCACATATTCAACAGGATTTTCCACCCGACCATATAGTATCACTTTTGGCGACTTACATAATGATAATCGAGAAGATCCTGTCGTTGTTAATCGTCATAGCGACAGTGTTGGTATATTAATTGGACTTGGCAACAGAATATCTGCAAGCGTTACTCAATATAAGACGGGTTCCTATTCTACTCCATTCTCAGTCGCTGTTGGTGATTTCAACGATGATAATCGATCAGGCATCGTTATTACTAATTCTAACGAACACAATGTGAGCGTTTTCTCACTGTTCCATATCCATTTTTCAGACAACAGATTACATATTCAACAGGCACAGACTCAGGCCCACATTGTGTCGCTGTTGGCGATTTCAATAACGATAGTCGAGTGGATATTGCTGTTGTTAACCATTATAACAATTTTATCGGTATATTCGAAGAATTTGGCTATGGAACATTCGGAAACGAAATGATCTACCCCACTGAGTCTGGCTCTTTGTCACGTTCCCTGGTTGTAGCTGATTTCAATGATGACAAATTACTCGATCTAGCCGTCGCTAATAGTGGCGCTTCCAGTGCAGGTGTATTTTTTGGATATTGCTGTGATCCTTTTCGAAACCAATCGACATATGATACTGGGAATAATTCTCATCCTAGCTCTGTTGCTGTTGGTGATCCAAACAACGATAATCAATCCGATATTGTTGTCGCTAATTATGGTACAAACAATATTGGTATACTGCTAGGATATCGAAATGGCACGTTTTCAAAACAAACAATTTGATCACTGGACTCCAATTCCTCACCATACTCAGTAGATCTTGGTGAATTCAATGGTGATAGATGGTTGGATATTGCTGTTGCTATTCATGGTACGAACTATACTGCTGTATTACTTGAATCTGGTGATGGGAGTTTTGCAAAACAAACATTCCATTGGATTGGCAATATCGCTCTAACGCCGGCAGCGGTTGTGGGTGATTTTAACAGTGATAAACAATTGAATATTATCCTCAGCAATGACGCGTCTAATAATATAGGTATACTGTATGGATATGGTAATGGAACATTTGAAACATTGAATTTATGTTCTATTGGCTACAATTCTAGACCATACTCACTTGGAATGAGCGATCTGAATAGTGACACTCAACTAGACATTGTCATTGCAAATCGTCTTAAGAACAATATTTAAATTCTCTCAAAATTTTGTTAAACTTTCTGTATTTTTCTTTTCATTGTAAGACTTGTCAATATTCCATACGGGCTTGTATATGGAGGAAACTACCATGGGGTGTGGGTATGTGTGATAATGTATTTAGGTGTATAGCAGTATTGCAATCGGCAACGGTCAGTTCGCTTCATTTCGGTCTAGGATTCTTGGGAGTCTAGAATATATGGATCTTTCCATACTGATTCTCGCTCAAACCACAATCACACTCTAAGTTTAAATAATTATTTTTTATGCTGTGAGGGAAATCATTTTTTCCAATATGAAAACAATTTCTTTGATGAATCCATGTAATAAAAACATTAAGACAATCGGCGAATAACCGCGGTTAACCGGCTCGTCTATAATCTCTGACAAGAAAAACTGTTCCAAATCATCAATTAAGCTATGTTAAACACCCTATTTTGTTACATGTAATAAACATGCGAAAAAACCACCGGTTTTACCAATCCGGTTACCGACTCCTATATCAGTGTAATTTATCGCACGAATGATAAATACCACAGTTTACCGCAAAAAATGATCCCGTATTCACAACATGGGGAACAGTTTCTTCATCAAATAAAAATATCAGTTGTCTGTTCCCATAGATCAAATAATAGAAGAAACAGAAATCATGAAAGATTTCAATTGAGATTATTTTCAGAGCAACCTTCGTTTATCATTGGGAAGAGTGATTACAATCTATTGTGTATGCTAAATCCTTTTCACGCTCGTTTTTCTCATCTACTAAATTTGCTTAATCTGTACCTTTTTGTGTAGACACTCTACAATAGATTATCCTAACTTATTCACATAAATACCGGTCATTTTCATTGGTTGACAAATCGAATGAATAATCAAATACTGAGCTGTTTTCCATAGATGTCATAATACCTTTACACTGGGTCAGGCTTGCCAAACCTCCTGATTTGACCAGGAGACTCCTGATTTTTGGACAGCTATCCTGATAGAAAATCTCCTGGTTTCAGGAGCTGATTTTCAATATTTTCTCCTGATTTTTAGATTTTCCCCTACTTGATTGTCAGCGATACTCTAGATCAATAAGAGAATTAAAAGGAAAAAAGAGAACTATCGCAGTATTTAATAACTATAGAAACGAATAAAAAAAGACATGCTATTATCTCATTTTTCTTTAAA